GGACTGTTGGCTCTGTTTCCATCCGTAACTGGGCCGATGGCTCCTGTTTGTCCACCACCTTAGGATGTGTCTTCCATGGAGAGGCAGCATGGCCCTGCCCCCTGGCTTCATGGTTTCCTGCTGTATGCAGGGCTCATGACTCAGTGTAACCACAATCATGACTCATCTACTCTGAGTCCCCATGGGCCTGAAAGCATTAGCTCCCATTTACACCTTTGCTCCTGCTTTGCCCTTAAAGATTTCCCTTGGTTGGAGCTTGGAGATCACCCCTCCCAACTTCCTACATACTAGGGATTGAACCCAGGGGCCCTTTATCACTAAGCTACACTTCCATTCCTTTTTAGTTTGAGTCAGGGTCTCACTAAGCTGCTTAGGGTCTCGATAAGTTGTTGAGACTGGCCTTAAACTTGTGATCCTCCTACCTCAGCCTTCTGAGTAGCTGGGATTATGAATGTGCACTGCCACACCAGGAGATAGCATTTTAACTATGTTCTTAGTTTTATTAAGCTTTCATATGTATTTGTACTAGGATGTGAGGGTCATAGGGAGAAGTTTACCTGTGCTCATATCTTGACCTGAAATTCAACATTCAATTTATATTGGATGGTTTGCGTTTGTGCTCCACGCATCAAAATCTTCTGTGTTTACTATAATTATCTGAAGTTTTTCCTCTGAGCCAGAAAATCTTTTAGCTTCTTTGATACTTCTAACTTTTCTCATAGTTCGTAAAGCTCTCGTTTTTATCCTCAAAATTTCCCCTTAGCTCTGCAATTCCTTTTCATTTTGTTTAGTTGATTTATCAACTTCTTGCATTCTTGTTCATCTTTCATGTTGTGTTTCTTGCTTATTTTCCTTCTCCCACCCTGTCATCCTTCTTTTTGAAATCGACCATGTTTGCTTAGCCTCCCTGCTCTCTCCTAATTCTGCATGAGTGAGTCTGATCAGACCATCTGATGCCTGAATGTGTGAGAACCAATTCTTTTTGACACCTTTCTACATACCTGTCATTCCCTCAGTACTGGAGTTTGGAACTGGATGACTTATTTTCTGCTTTGTTTAGGTCAGAGGATTACAGGGACAGGTGATGGACAGGGCTAGGCTCTACTCCTTCTCCTGAAAGCTTGATGTCCCATACCAGGGTCCATTCCACTCAGCAGGTGGGAGTCCTTCTGCTGGGACTGGGACTTATATTCCCAGGTAGCCAGGATCCCTGGACAAAGGCAAGTCCAACTGCTCCTCCAGGTGCCCCTGGCTTCTGCAGTGATGCTCAGGGACACTTTCTCTCGGGGACTTCCCTCAACTTTCCACAGGCTGCCTGTGCCATCTCCTGGTTCCTTTGTGCTGTTCTTGGGATCTAGTTCTCTAACCTTCCCTCTTTTCCACTTCCAGTCAAGGTGGGGAAGAGACAACCAACATTCCATTCTGGGACCCTCTATTTCTTTCCTCTTGACACCTTTTCAGTTTGGGGTTTTGAGGTGGTACTATTTTCCACGTTTGATTGCTTCTGGTTTTGTTTTGACATTTTTCAAAACTGTTATTTCCTGATCTCTTTGTGATGTGCAGAGTGGAAGGAGCTTGTGTGATCTGGCCTCACTTGGCCTGTCCTTAGCCCCCGCCTAGGCAGATGCACCTGTCACAAACTGCTCACAAGATCCTAGGGACTCCCTGGGTTGCTGCTGCTGCCAGCGGTTTGCCCCTGCTCCTCAGACAGCAGATCTTTTTGTGGTCTCTCCCTCTCCTCCCACCCTCTCTTTGGCCTGCAACCCCTGACATCTCCTCTGTGACATGAGTGTGTTTCATATGCCATCAACTTATGTTGGGACTTCACCACTTCTAAAATGGAATTATGATTCCTTTTTAAACCCAAACAGAGAGTTCCCCTCCTTGGTATTTCTGAAAGTTTCACAGGGCACAGCCTCACATGAGCGTCAGAAAGACCCACTCCAGCCTTCCCATCTTGCTGTTAGGATTCTACTTCTGCAATTCGAGGGACTGGTGACGGTGATTCTTTCAGGCCTCAGGAAGAGGACATTGCCTTCCCTGATCCCCCCATAGTTCATCTGACCACAGGCCCCACTGAAGTGGGGAATAAAGGAAGCATACAGCAGAGAGTAATTTCCATCTGTCTCCAGAGGGGAGGTATCTGGTACCCATAAGCCTCCATCTGGCAGGGCCCCTTCAGTTCCCACCAAAAGCAATATCCAGGCCCTCTTTTTCCCCAGAAAGGGAATAAAATCCTCCCACCCCCACCTTTGCCTGCCCCAGGACGACTGGCAGTAAGGACTCCCCCATCCCTCCCTATCCAAAGGTGGTGCATTTGACCCTCTCCTGTTCCTCACCAGGGCATTATCACAGCTTTCCCTCCAGCCTAAGGAAAAGAGAGGGTCAGGTCTCTGTCATCTGGTCACCCCGTCTCCCAGGATTGAATGTTGGACAACTCGACATCCACATCTCCCAGGAATCAGAGGACAGCCTTAACCCAGATTTAAGAGGAAGGAGCACCTTAAATACATGTCTAACTTGTTTGGGGCAGTTCTGCTCCCATGCCTAGTTATTGCTTCCTGTGGGGACCCCCACTTCTTGGCCTGGAATCATCCTACCTGGCTTCCCCGAGAAGAATGGAGGCCACGCGCCTCCCATCTGGTAGACTGAAAGCACGGTCTGACGTGGTTGAAGGTGAGCAGACCAGCGTCTGGCCCACAGGAAAAGGTTTCAAAGGCTGTCCCTGAGATAAGGCTGGCTTCTGGGGGCCGCTTTGAAGATAGGAACCATCGCCCCCACTTCCTGGTTGGATGAGAAGTCAGAGGCTCCAGGACTCTCCATCCTGTCTGGTGTTGGTGAGTTCTGTGTCTGACTGGGTTGCCACCCACTTTTCTCAACGGCCTGTGGTCTGTGCTGCAGAACATCCTAACCACACAAGATAGGCAGGAGCAGTGGGCAGATCAAGGCCAACTAAAGTGTCAGCTCAGCACCCACCACGTTACCTGTGTGTGCCTCTATAGACATCACCGGCTGGGCCAGAGTGGCCATATTGTACCCCAGAAAGGGGAGGAAATCCTCCCACCCCTCCACCTTTGCCTGCCCCAGATAACTGGCAGTAAGGACTCCCCCATCCTTCCCTACCCAAAGGTGGGAAGGGCTTGTCTAGGAGGATTTTTTTTTCTTTTTTCAGATTAAAAAAATATTTATTTATAAAATTTTTAAAATTTGTTCTAATTAGTTGTACATGCAGTAGAATGCATTTGGACCCATCGTACACAAATGGAGCACAACTTCTCATTCCTCTGGGTGCACACGGTGCAGAGTCACACTGGTAGGGTAATCATACATGTATATAGGGTAATAATGTCTGTCTCATCCTACCGTCCTTCCCATCCCCACCGTCCCACTCCTCCCCTCACTCCCGTCTGCACAATCCAAAGTTTCTTCATTCTTCCCTACCCCCACCCTCACTATGGATCAGCATCTGCTTATCAGAGAAAAAATTTGGCCTTTGGTGTATTGGGATTGGTTTATTTCACTTAGCATAATATTCTCTAGTTCTGTTCATTTACCTGCATATTCCATAATTTTATTCTTCTTAAAGGTTGAATAAATATTCCATTTTGTGTATATATACCACATTTTCTTTATCCATTCATCTATTGAAGGGCATCTAGGTTGGTTCCATAACTTAGCTATTGTGAATTGAGCTGCTATAAATATTGATGTGGCTGTGTCCCTGTAATATGCTGATTTTAAGTCCTTTGGGTATAAACCGTGGGAAAGCTGGGTCAAATAATGGTTTCATTCCAAGTTTTCTGAGGAATCTAGGAGGATTATTTCCTGTTACTTGGGCTCGGTGGCACATGCCTGTAATCCCAGTGGTTTGGGAGGCTGAGTCAGGAGGATTGCAAGTTCAAAGCCAGCCTCAGCAACTTAGCAAGGCACTTAGCAACTCTAAATAAAACATAAAAAAGAGCTGGGGATGTGGCTCAGTGGTTGAGTGCCCCTGGGTTCAATCCTCAGTAGTAGTAGTAGTAGTAGTAGTAATAATAATAATAATAATTATTATTATTCTGTTACTGTCTCAGAGAGGCTGTTGCTGACCTCTTGTCCTTGGCAGAGAAGGAAACCAAACGCCTGAGCCTTATTTCAATGCAGGGACTGGGTAGGCACTTTAGGCCACCTCAGTTCCCTGAGTCTAGAATCAAGAATCACAGGGAATGAGAGAAAGTTGTGGAATCCTCTGTGGAGACAGGATCCAAAACATTCATTTATAGACAGAAAAACTGCCATTCTGGAGGGAGGCCAGAAATTGTCTTTGGGCCTGAACCCCTCTTGCTCCTGCCTGTCTTGTGTGGTTAGTGTGTTCTGTGGCCCTGACCTCAGCAAGAAAAGTGGCAGCTAGTCAGACAGAACTCACCAAAACTGGACAGGATGGGGAGGACTGGAACTTCCAGTGTTCTAACCTGACAAGGGGACAGGGGAGTACTACTCCTCTCTACAGAGGCCCCCAGAAGCCAGCTTTATCTCAGGCACAGTCTTTGAAACCCTTTCCTGTGAGCCAGCCACCAGCACGCTCACGTTTCCACAAACATGACCTTTACTTAGTACAGGCCTGGGGGAAAGCCAGGGCAGCGTCCCCACTTTGAAGTGCTTCATAAATGACAGGGCATCTTCATACATGAGGATGTCATGGTTAGCCCACGGCCACCTGAGTCATTTTTTCCAGATGTGGTGAGGGGGACAGCAGCCAGCTGGTGTCATGGGAAAAGCCCTGGATTCAAGTCCCAGTCACATGTTGGCATGTCAGGCTGACTACAGCTGCCGGCTGCCCTGCCTCCCTGCAGCACTTTCTTCTCTGTGACTTGGTGGGAGAGAGTGACCCATGCCTTATTTCTCACATGAATGGGCGCACTTGTAGATAGGAGAGCTCTTAGAAAGCCATGCCATTGATCAGGCAGCTGGTGGTAGAGGGGATGTACCCGGGGGCTCAGTGTCTAAACATTCAGGCTGGATCTGAGCTACTTTTTAATCATGCAAACCTAGGCAAGTTCCTTCATGACTCTGGGCCTCAGTTCTCTCACATGTCAAATAGGCATGATGGCCCTGCGCCGGACTCCCCAGAGAAGTGGATTGGATGAGATGCGAATGCATGGCCAGTCCCATGGGGCTGCACCATTGGAGGGTAGAGTACATCTGGGCTTCCACAAGCCCATCCTCTTTCAAGGAAAGAGAGCAGCTGCAGGTTGCCCTGGCAACCTGCACCAGCAGCAGGCTTCCTGCAGGGACTTTCCTGTGTCAGTTTCCCTTCTGAGCTTCAGCTCAGTCCGGAAATGTGGTGAAGGCACACAGGTCTGTCAGGCAGAGACCTCTGCCCAATGGCATCACATGCCACACTTGCCCTGTGGAAGAGGAAAGAGAACGTGGTCACAAGGCTCACTTTTCTCCTCTCTCTCTCTCTCTCTCTCTCTCTTTAAGTGACTGATTTTTGTGAGTAAACACACGGGGAAGACTTCTTGGCTCTGTTTTCTGCTTCCTGTAGTCTCTGTCAGGCTGATGACTCTTCCTACTTAGCCCTGGCCTACATCCCCAGGGAACAGGCCAGGGCACTGGGTCATGCTTGCACTATCTTCACAGGACATAGGTGGGCCCGGGCATCTCCACAGTGGTAGGCTTTATTTGCTACAGTCCTCTGAGAAGAGCAGAGACTGTCTGCATCTCCTCTGCCCTTCCTGGCAGGAAACCAGCACTGTCTGAAATTTCTCCATTGGTGGCCCAGATCTTTGTGTCCTGGTCCCATGTTTAGTGTGCAAATCCTGAAAGTTGCCTCAGTCTTCAGGAATAGCACTGCCTGCTCCCAGAATGTCAGGATCAGCCTGGGAGGACCACTAACTTCTTCAGATTTGCCATTTGGACCATCCTCTGTCTTCTTATAATCATTAGCTATGAAACATAGAACAAAAATGGCCTGTATCTCAGGGCAACCAACAAAAAAAAGAGATGGTCTTGAACATGACTAAGCCCCTCTGTAAATGAAGATTTTTATGAGCTGTGGCCAGGGCAGCTGCCTGACCGGAAGGAGGCAGGTCTAGTCCTGCATCTGTCAGGAGGAAGCAAGAAGGTCTAGAGTTGAGATTACAGGTGTGTGCGACCATGCCCACTCTTTTATCTTATTCATTTCAGAATTATATAGTCAGCCTTCCATATCCACGGGATTCAACCAACCATGGGTTGAAGTTATTTTTTTTTAAAATAGCATCTGTACTGAACATGTACAGACTTTTTTCTTCTCATTATTCCTGAAACAATACAGTGTAACAACTGTTTATATACCAATTACATTATCTGAGTTATCATAAGTCATTTAGAAATGACTGAAAGCTAACAAGAGGATATGTATAGGTTATATGCAAATACTGTGTCATTTTATATACAGAATTTGTCCATCTGTGGCTTTTGGTATTGCTGGGGCTCCTGGAACTAATTGCCCATGGATAAAAAAGAACAACTGTGTGTGTGTGTGTATGTGTGCAGTGTGTGTGTATGTGTGCATTTGTGTGTGTATGTGTGTGTTCACATCTTTCAATACCTAAAATATTAATAATAACTTATATTTATGTATGTGTTTCTCACAGTCCTTTACTTTCATTTTGTATTTTTAATTTCCTTCCTTTTAAAAAGTAGTTTTATTAATGCTATGTTTAATCGATGTTTAATTCATATCAAATTATGTTTAATTAGTATAATGCACAAGTAATGTTTAATTTTAGTTATTTTCAAATTTTCTAGAAAATTTTTTTGTCACACTCGCTTTTACCACTCAGCATGTATAAAATTATATTGAAGAATTATGTTGCAGGTGGTTACAGTTCATTTTTTATATAATTCTACTACCATTTGGATTGAATTGTGTTTCAAAAAAAGAATATCTTATCCCTAAACCTGTGGGGTGATTGTTTGGGAATAGCATCTTTGCAGGTGTAATCAACTGATGATGAGTTCGTATTCTGAGAGGGCCCTGATCCAGTGACTGCTATTCTTACAGAAGAGGAAAGTTTAGACACACACAGGGGCCAGGGGTGCCATGTGAAGACAAAGTGATAGATGTATAAGCCAAGAAATGCTGAGGCCTGCCAGCAGGCCAAGAAGTCAAGGTCAGGCAGGAAAGGCTCATTCCCTGACAGCACCTTGATTTCTGAACTCTGTGGTCCACCTCATGCTTTAAATATAGCCCTTGTAGCTCTACCACTGGGGCTTGCTTTTTTTTTTTTTTTAATGGTGCTGGAAATTGAACACAGGGCCTTGTGCATTTGAGGCAAACACTCTATCAACTGAGCTATATCCCCAGCCCTTATTTTTTAAAGGGATTTTTTTCCCCTCACTTTTCCCTCTCCCCCTTCCTAACAGGATTAGGGAGACAGGGTTATCTTTTCTTCCCCCTCCTAGGCCTAGTTATCTTCCTTGAGCACACTCCTACCACAGCAAGATGTCCCAGAAGATCTAGGGAGTAACTGTCTCCCAAACTAACAAGCAAATTTCAACACACCATCAGAACGCACCTGGGACCCCCATCAGGGCACACCTGGAGTGTAGCCTTTGAATCCTCTTTTAAAAACCCCTCTGTTCTCCCTGATGGGCAGAATCACAGTCTCTAGGACAGGAGTTCCTGTGTTTCTCCTTTGCTAGAAAAACAATAAACCTTCTTTTTTTTCTTTTCTCTCAAAATTGTGTCCTCGCTATATTATTGGCACTGGGGACAAGGACTGAGCTTTTGGTAACATAATCTCCAGAACTGTGGGAGAATACATTTCTGTTGCTCTGAGCCAGCTGGTTGTGGTCCTTTGTTAGTGAAACCCAAGGAGACCGATACCAGCGCCTTCACCTTGGCTGAACTGTGATGGCAGGACAGAGGTGCCTGGCAGGTTCCCGGCCTTTCTCATCCCTGCTAACCCAGCAATCATCCTGACTGCACTGTTCTCAGTCCCTTCTGGGAAGGAGCCTTGCTCTGCCACCATTGAGATAAAAATCAGGGGACAGGGGAGGGGATGAAAAGTCAGAGCCAGATCAGAAGCACCTGCTGCCTGAGAGAACAATGTGGGGGGAAGGCATAGAGGGAAGTGCAAAAAGTATTATGAAATACTGAGAAAAATCAAGAAGTCCTTCTAAGGATCATGAGTTTATTTAGTGGTATGTGAGAAACACACTTGAAAAACTTAACTTTGAAATGCTTTCAGTTCCATGATCTTTTGACCAGCCAGAGCTGACCACTGTGGACCTGGGCTCCATGAACTTCTCTCCCCATACCCCATCCCAGATGCTTTCTGCCCACCAGCCCCTGCTGAGCTTGGCAGACTTATCTCCTCCTGATCCTCACAGCAACCCTATGAGGAGAGTGCTATTTTAGATGAGAAACCAAAACTTCACAGCAAATCTTGCTTAAATGCCGAAGGTCTGAAGGCTAAAACTGCCTTGTGCCTAGCTCAGAGCTGCAGCAGCCAGGAGTCTTGAGGCAACACCTGGTCCCTGCCCTCAGAACAGCCTTGCCTCATAGGATAATGGCAGCTCTGTAACCTCCCAGGAGGTAGGACTAGCGCGTATTCCTGGTATTGAGATGGAGTCAAATATGTTAGTCACCTTTTTGGCTAATGTGACCAAAAATACCTAATAAGCCAAGTGCAATGGTTCACACCTGCAATCTCAGCAGCTCTGGAGGCTGAGGCAGGAGGATTGCAGGTTCAAATCCAGCCTCAGCAACTTAGCAAAGCCCTAAGCAACTCAGAGAGACCCTGTCTCTAAATAAAATTTAAAAAAAGGGCTGTGGATGGGGTTCAGTGGTTAAGCGCCCCTGGGTTCAATTCCTGGTATGAAAACAAAAACCTAACAAGAACAATTTAGAGGAGGAATGTTAAGCTCACAGTTTGATGTTCAGTCCAACGGTCAGCCATCTCCATTTCTCTGGACCTACTTAAGACAGAACATCCTGGTGGAAGGGCATAGTGGAGGAAAGCTGTCAGCTCATGGCAGCCAGGAAGCAGAGAGAGAGAGATACCAGAAGGAGCCAGGTACAGATGTAGTCCCCAAGGCCACACCCACAGTGTCCTCCTTCCTCCAGCAACATCCCACCTGCTTACAGTTACCACCCAATAGTCCATCCAAATTATTAATCCATCAAATGGATTAAAATCCACTGATGTGGTTACAACCCTCAAGAGCCTTCCACATTGGGGACTGTGTGTTCCACACATGAGCTTTTGGGGACATTCCAAATCCAACCATAACACTACGCAGGAAGGAAAGATGCAGCAGCAGCTATAGAATGAGTTCTGGATCAAAACTACCAGGGTTTCCCCAACTCTACCACTTTCCCATTATATGGGCAGTTATCTAACCTCCGTGAGCCTCAGCTTCCTCATCTGTAAAATGAATATAATACTAGTTTCCACGTCAGAGGGTAGTTAAGAGTTAGCACAATACGTGACACACTTGGAATAGCACCAGCATAGAATAAGCACTTAATGGGGCTGGGGATGTGGCTCAAGCGGTAGCGCGCTCGCCTGGCATGCGTGCGGCCCGGGTTCGATCCTCAGCACCACATACAAACAAAGATGTTGTGCCCGCCAATAACTAAAAAATAAATATTAAAAAAAAGAATAAGCACATAATAAAAGTTAGCTCTCATAAGTTTGACCTTAAAAAACATGAGGCCCCAATCAGATCCCATAAGACCTTAAGTACAAAATATAAATCAACACAAAAACTCCTAGACAGGTTTTCATTTAGTATAAGAAAGAACCTCAATCTAAGTATTAGAGTATTAGCTAATCATAATGCAACATATATATTTACAGACATGTACACTGTATTGACACATTTCCCTGTGCGGGAGAATTCCAAATAGTTTATGTAAATAACCAGTTTTCCAGGAAGGCAGCACAATTCCCTACTCCACAGTGTGGGCTGTGCACAGTGATTTCCCTCTAAAGAGTACTATGTGGAAAATGGAAACTGACAAACACCACTACAACCATTAAGGTCAGGGTCAATAAGGGTAAGTCATGTTGTTAGATGTGCCCTTGATACAACATGATGAAATGACACTTTACGCTTGTAGTCTTCCTTTCACCCCAGATCCCCTAGTCTTGCTGTGAGAAAACATCAAACCAATCCCAGTTGAGAAGTCAAAAAAAAAAGGAAAGAAGGAAGGAAGGAAGGAAGGAAAGAAAGAAAGATCTGACCACCACTCCTCAACACTGTTAAGGTCATCAAGAATAAGAAAAGCCTGAGAAGCTGTCAAGAGGAGCCTAAGGGGCTGGGGATGTGGCTCAAGCGGTAGCACGCTCGCCTGGCATGCATGCAGCCCAGGTTTGATCCTCAGCACCACATACAAACAAAGATGTTGTGTCCGCCGAGAACTAAAAAATAAATATTTAAAAAAAAAATTCTCTCTCTCTGTCTCTCTCTATCTCTCTCTCTCTCTTTTAAAAAAAAAAAAAAAGAGGAGCCTAAGGACACTAGACAATTAAATGTAATATGATGTCTTGGATGTGATCTGGAAGACAAAAGGGAGATTAGGTAAAAACTAGGAATATATGAATAAAATATGAACTTCAGTTAATACTAATATATCAACATTGCTCCATTAATTGGGATAAAGATATCATACTGATAAAAGATGTCGGTAAAAGGGAAGATCCAGGGCATATTGGAAATCTGCACTGTCTTCACTGCAGTTCTGTCAGTCTAAAAAACAAAGTCAGGTGTGGTGGTGTGCCTGTAATTCTAGCAGCTCAAGGCTGAGGCAGGAGATTGGCAAGTTTGAGGACAGCCCCAGCAATTTAGCAAGACCCTGTCTCAAAACTTTAAATAGTATAAAAAGGGCTGGGAATATAGCTCAATGGTTAGGTGATCCTGGGCTCAATTCTCTGTAGGTACCCCCCCCCAAAAAAAAAAAAAACAAAAAACCACACACTGCTTGAATCTGAGATTCCTAATTCCTAACCCATATTTGTAGCCCTTTGGTTTCCTTATCTGTAAAAATGGGAATCATATACCACCACCACCTCCCAGGCGCCAGTGAGGTGCTAATGAAATGAAGAGGGCCCAGGAAAAAAAAAAACTCAATTAAGGATGGCTGTCATGGTTGTTATGTGCTTTCACATTTTTATTATTCCTGTGTCCCAAGAGTTTCGATGGCTCTCTGATCCTTAGAATAAGGACCTCTCCAGCTAATCTCTGAACCACTCCAGGAGAACTATGCAAGCTTGGCAATTGCTCCCTGTCCTCCTGAGGCAGGAGTATTGCAAGTTTGTGTCCAGCCTTAATGAGAACTTGTCTCAAAAAAAAAAAAAAAACCTGTCATATATAACTAATTAGAACAAATTAAAACAAATTAAACATAAAAGAAAAAAAGAATTTTTAAATAAGTAATTTAATTTTGAATAGTATAAAACAATTTTTTAAATGTGCTCAGTGGTTAAGAGACCCTAGGTTTAATCTTCAGTACCAAAATAAAATAAGATAAAAGAAAGCTATGCTTTAAAAAGAAATATCAGTGGTTAAATGGTCTGGTTCTATCACACGAGAAGTCAGTCAAAGGGAAGTTACTTTTTAATAAGCTCCATCACCTACCAGCCAGTAATACCGATTCTCTTGCCTGGCCTGGTCCTTCCTGAGACAGCTCTGTCACAGGATGACTTGCTTCATCTGGAACTTGGCCTTGCCACATGAGAGTCCCCATCTGAGGAGCTACAGAAAGAGATTGTGTTTCTATGGCCAGGGCATGGAGCACAGTTTCTATTTTGGGGAGGGGTTTTCCTTCCCATTCCAGAGAGATTGGTTACGTAGTGCCTACATTGGCAGGAGCAGAAATGTCCCAATAATTGTCATTAAGTACACCTCCCTTTAATGAAAGATTTAGTGTTTGGTAGGAAGATAAACACTTGCCAGGTACCTAATTTGTTTATCTTCATCTTAAATAATAATGCTTTTCCCCAGTGAACATGCACACTCAGCAAGAGGAGAAGGTGGCAGGAAGGAAGGAGACCGGAGTACTGGTATTAGAGGGGAAGTCTGCACCTACAAACAACTGCACATTGAGATGTCATCGGGATTAGGGGGTGGTCAATAGAAGACAAAGGGAGCCAGGTACAGTGGCGCATGCCTGTGATCCCAGCAGCTCAGGAAGCTGAGGCAAGAGGATCACAAGTTCAGAGCCAGCCTCAGCAACAGTGAGGCACTAAGCAACTCAGTGAGACCCTGTCTCTAAATAAAATACAAAATAGGGCTGGGGATGTGGCTCAGTGGCAGGGTGCTTGCCTAGCATGTGTGAGGCACTGAGTTCCATCCTTAGCACCACATATAAAAAAAAATTAACAGATACGATACAGGCATGCTGTCCATCTACAACTACGAAAAATTAAAAATAAAAACAAAATAGGCCTGGGGATGTGGCTCAGTAATGAAGTGTTCCTGAGTTCAAACCCCAGTACCAAAAAAAAAAAAAAAAAAAAAAGACAAAAGAAAAGAAAGAGGGACACAGTGGCCCAGACCTGTAATCCCAGCAAAGGTGAAGTAGGAGGATCACAAGTTCCAGGCCAGCTTAGCAAGACCCCCTCTCAAAGTGGAAAAAAAAAAAAAAAAAAAAAAAAAAAATAATAATAATAATAATAAAATAAAGGTTGGGGCTGTGACTCAGTGGTAGAGTGCCCCTGGGTTGAATCCTGAGTTCTGCCAAACTAAGAAAAAAGGCATACATCTAGAAATAGCCCAGAACATTCCTCAACTCTCAAGCCAAAGAGAATTTTTTAATAAATTTCCAGATAAAAAGAACCAAAAAAATGCATAAAAGAGCATCAGGTGGTCATCATCCTTCTGCTGCCCACTCCCTGCCCTTTAAATCAAGACAAGAAATGACTCCTTTGGTTTGAAGCTTGTTCTCTGTTCAAAGATGCCCCAAGTCTCACAGAAGTCTTTATTTTAAACCATGGCAATCACTTCCCTTCAATAGAAGTCTGCTGGTTAAATTCTATTCTGAGAAAAACCTTAATAAGGAATATACGTGGGAGAGTCTGAATTCAAGCAAAGGGTGTTTGAGGGGATGAGAGGGGTGCTGTATTGTCAGATTTCCATCTCTATTATGAAATGCTGATATAATGAAATTATAAAGAGAAAAAGGTTATTCGGGTGCACGGTTTTGGAGGGTCCAGTCCATGATCGATTGGGCCTGTTATTCTGGGCCTGTGCTGAGGCAACACATCATGGTGGAAGCACACAGAGAAGCAAACACTGCACACCTCCTGTCCAGGAAGCATGCTTGTCTACACCATAGGAGGTGCGAGAGGACCTGGAAGATATTGGAAGGGTAGTTCTGACTCAACACAAGCTCACATCCCTCACTCTCTCCACTCTTCTCCTTTCCTTTCCTACTACCTCTCCACACCTGCACTTCAGTTGCTAGACTGATGGCTGATGGGACAAAGAACTTCTTTCAGCCAAATTCCTGAGAGAAGCATTTACTTATTCGTTGCATGTCTTAATCTTAGAGCATAATTAAGTGTGACTTTTAGCCCTGGGGGAAAAAAAGGTCTGAATTTTAATTTGAGAGCTCCTGAGTGAACCAGCTCCTTGACATTTGAAGACTTAAACCTTATCTGGAGCAGCGCTCCAGAGGCTGATGGACTTTGTTGAACACGAACCATTTCAGAACCCACCACAGGGTTGTTTCTTATTCCTCTTTTCCAATTACACAGCAGCACAAGATTCAATTAGAATATAAGGGCTTTTAAAAATTAATCCAGAGGACCCAATTTAAGCTTAAGTTGCCGTATTTTACAGAGAAGAAAGTAAATGTTGCATTGATTTTCTTACTTGTGTTCATTTCCTCTTGCTATTATTGATATGCAAGGAACATAAGCCTGAAGCCTCAGAGTTCTGTTGAGTGTCTCAGACCTCCAAGGTGTCTTGCCTCGGCTCCCTGCTCTGCCATGGTCTTTGAGAGCCTGTGTTTACCCAGGT